AGCCCTATCTCCAATTTCATGTGAATAAATCTCCCCAGTGCTTAAATAATTTTCACCACATTAAATAGCTGCACATCACCCTATTTGCCGAAAAAGCGTTGCTTGCAACACTAGTCCTTTATGGGGACCAAACTTGGTGGAAAAAAATAGCTAGGTTTGTTTACTGGATATACTGAGGTTTAAACGACCGCTCATACCACCGCATAGTCGAAGTCGACATGAAAATGCGGTGCCACAATATGCAGTAACGACGGTTTGGTCATACAAGTCATCGCAAACACGAACGCGACAAAAAATGCGATGCACACAAATATCGCATTGCTTGCGGTGGCGGTTATACTTACACCGCATTGTTTGCGAGTATACTTGATGTCTCGAAAAAGGCACCGCATGCTGATCACTGGTATGTATGTATATAATGTGTGTACGTTTTCGAAGACTTCGAAACCGCTGATGAATATGATTTTGATCAAGAATTATAGAATACAAGATTGCGCCAATGAGAGAGGATTTTTGAGCGTAATTTTTTGGTTTTGGTGTTTAATGCATCTCCTCGCCGGCAGAACTGCTTCCACTTTTTCGCCTGGTTTGCGTCCGTAGGAAACGAAAAAAACTTATATCGCACGGTTTCCTTTTGTTTTCACTATTACACTTTGCCACTGCACACTTCATTTTGCTTTGTAATGTCTCAATAATTGTTTAAAACCACGCAGAATATTAACGCACAAATATTAAAATTGTTATTTGGTTTTTTCGTATGCTCACAATCAACAATTGCACCAAGATGACGTCACGCACACAGCTCATTCTGTCAAAATCACAAAGAGCGGATTAGCGGTACCGCGATTGGCGCAATCTCTATTTCTCTCAATCGTGGATTTTGATGTTATTAACAGAAATACTCTGACGTAGTCTGGAGATGGTTTCTGTAAAGTTAAGCCCTATTGGACTCAAAGTAGAAGAGTTGCCACCCATTTAAAAAATATGTAAAACTTAAATGAAATATTACAAAATTGGGATCAAATGAAAGGTGATTGTTAATCCAAACACATTTTTTTATATGTCTTCCCCCTATAAAATAAAAAAGCTGCCAGCTGTTAAAAAATTATTTTTAAAATATCAAAAACAATTTAAAAACTTTATACATAAGACTAAATAAAAAATCCATCTCATGCTGGAAAAATAAAATCTTTCTTTATTAAGATTAATTACACTGTGTAAGTTGAAAATTTAGGCAAAGGTTCTGATAGTTGATGATGGCTCCAGTTTTCGAGATAACGGTACTTGAAAATTTGCTTAAATTTTAACGTTTTTGTAAATAAATCTCTCAGTTTTAAGATTATTTTATTAAAATTTTGCACGTGATTGTTTTTTAGTATTAATTTAACTATTTCGAAAATCATCTAAATCTGTTAACTATAACATATAGCTCTCATACAACTGATTGTTCATATACGAGACTTTTTACTCAAAAATATGTTAATAACCAGTTGCATGAGAGCTATATGGTATAGTAAACCGATTACGGTGATTTTCAGAAATAGTAATATTAAAAAACAGTCACGTACAAAATTTTGGAAATATAACTTTAGGGAGTTATTTAAAAAAAGTTAAAATTTTCAATTACCTTTACCTCGGAAACTGGATCCAATCCAGCAAAACGGGGACTTGAATTTAGAAGGTCCCAATTAAGTACAATAACCACTAAAACCTGTGCTCAAAATAAAAAGTTCAAGATCCGAGCACAGTTTTATTATATATACAAAACAAGAGAGATTTGGTAGGTCGAAGGTTGCTCTTTATGAATGGAGATATGGAAGACTAAGTCTTCCACCACCCATTCATTCCCTGACGGAAACAAGTGATTTTTTTTTTAATCAACTAATTGAAAGACTACCTTAAAACAAATGCAAAAATGAAGTTGTTTAGACCAAATTCATTTTTAAGTACTTGAAATTAAATGCAGAATAGGACAGTCGACTTGCTGCTTGCACACAATTCAAGCTGAATATTTGAAAGCGCATTTACATGCCTGGCTGTAGCTGAGCGTGCAAGATGTTTGCTACAACTGGTCGCAGCCAAGAATGTCCATGTTCAAATCTCATTTAATTTAAAATTTTGAATTTCGGGTTTTCTTAATTATGAAAAAGCATCTGTGAAGTGCAGAATGAAAGCGAATTCAAACGACTGGCCTTAAAGTTTTTTAATCCAAATGCTTTTTAAATTTGTTGAAAATACATGCAGGAAAAGGTAATTGACTGCTTCCTAGGACATCACCATGTTAAATAAATAAGTTCGTTGCAGGTAAAATAGTGAGAATTTCAATTAGTTGTCATTGAAAATAAAGTAGTTTATAAATTACTTTTAAATTAATTAAGTTTCCTGCAGGGTTGTTATTGAAAAATGCTCCCTGCTTTTTCCGCTTTTCTTCCATTTGTCTTCTAGCTTCGATGAAAATCTACTGATAAAAAGTCGTACCTCTTTTGGTGACTTTTCGGTGATCTCAGAAAAATCGTATTTTAAGGTCAAAACTTTATAGAGCATGCTGTTTTGGCGATTTTTTTAATTTTTCGGCCATTCTTCCAAAATTTTTTTTTCGATATCAAGTAGGAATGATTTTCAAAAAAAAAATTATAAAAAAATAATTGTACAGAATTGTGCAGATAGAAACTGTCATATTTAGAACCTACAGGGCCACAGCTATGATGTATATAAATTTTAGACTGGGGATAGGTGGGGAAATACTACTTTCACACTAATAAATGCAAATAGTTGCACAAAAATATCGAAATTTGAGATTTTGACATTTCTTCTTCACTAATAAATAACGACAAATGCAATATAACATAGAAAATGAATGCTACTTACCTTTGCCTTGCAAATCCATCTCAAACATAAAGTAAACATACCTCTATAAAACAATGGTCGCGTTTATAAGACGTAGCTGTTTAGCTCATCTGCTACGAAATTGCTGGCAACTGTTGAACCCAACAATTACGTCTTAAAAACGGCTTGATGAATATGCTGCCAAATGAACAGCTGATAAATGTAAACAAATAAAATTGCAACAAATAGAGATAGTTGCGCCGATACTATTTAGAATTCAACGCTGAGCGGCCGCCGTGTTGAAAAATTCGTTCAATGTTAGAATGAATTAAACAGTGTAAAATTATATAGCAAACATCTTAAAAACATATATTTAGAAACGTAGTACTATTATAAAATATTTTAGTTACTTTTTCACGTCAGTAATATAAAACATAATAAATTTGTTTGCAACTGCCACCTAACAAAGCGGCGTTAAATTTAATATAAGCGGCGTAAGTCTTTTCGATCAGCTGTTTAGGCTAAGCCCAACAGGCTGAGTTCAGGTAGCGTAAAAATTTTCCGCTGGAAAAAATGGCGGAAAGTTGCCAACTGTTTGGCTGAGCGTAACTACTCAACTGTGCGTTTCTAAGACAAACAGCCAACGGTTACCCAACAGCTACGACTTATGAACGCGCCCAATGGCAGGCAAAATAGCAATAAGTCCACGTAATGAAATTGAACAACACACGTGAGCGTTTTTCTGACAAGAACAATTAATTACTTATATTTGAACAATAATCATGCAAAAATTTTGTCTAATTCATAGGAATGAGAATATTGATTGTCATTTTCAATATTTATAATTCAAAAATTCAATGCCGACTTTTGCCCAATTAACTTATTCTATTCGAATTGACCATGGTGTCAATATCATCTGCATATACCAACATCGTTATTTTTCTATACATGCATACATACATATATAGTGCCGCTGCGATTATCAAGTGAAACGCAAGTTTCTTTGAACAAATAAAGCTTAATCCCGTAAAAAACCTAACTCACAAAATAATATTAATAACGCAGGTTTACAAAAGAAAATGTATGCATATTGAACCAAACCTCAATATCCCTATGTTATTCGACCCTCTGAATGCGAATCCGAGGTCTGTTAGCCTCCATCACGTCAGGTTCGAGGTCATTTGAAGGTCAAGTAGGGAAAAATTCATTGATTAAACCTGAAAATTCAATAAAATTCTTCTTAATTTGACCCCAGGGACCCCTATATTCGGATTTAGCGACACCAAAAAAAAAAAGTTTTATTTTATTGGAAAATTTGTTTGTCCTATTTGACCCTCAAATGCCCTCGAACCTGACATTATAGAGGTTAACCGACCTCGGATTCGGGTTCAGCGGGTGTAAAACTCCATATATATATGAATTTTCAGGTTTATTCAATGAATTTTTCCCTACTTGACCTTCAAATGACCTCGAACCGGACGGGATGGAGGCTATCAGACTTCGGATTCGACCGTCGAATAACATAGGGATATAGAGGTTTGGTTCAATGTGCCGAAACTTTTTTTTCTGAAAACCTGTGTAATGTCTGAACAACGATGAATCATATATGGCAACAGGTATATTGGGCGCTTCCTTCACAATGATTTTTTTTAATATAAATTTGAATTCATAAAGTTATTTTCGGTCCCTGGTCGTAAGGCAAGGAGGAGGACCCTTCGTAATATCAAACTCTATAAGTTCTGAGGGCTTATAGATAAGTTGACCACTGGACAATGTGTCGAATTTCTACTTTGTATTATCTTTTATTATTTTCTACCCTTCGGCGTAATTAACCTCTAATATCCCTAAAGGTATTTTTTGCATTATAATCAATCACGTGAACCGCAGGTACAGTGTCACCACCCAAATAGGCATTAATATGTATTTAAGAACTATTTATGAATATATTCCACACTTTTTAATTTTAATTCAGTGTTTTAATCTCTTTCTTATGAGAATGTCCGCTTCACCTCGAGGTTTTCACTTGTATGTAGATGCGTGGTATCATATAGTTTATATCCATTAATTGGAAATTTATTTAAGTAATAGCATAGAATTGTAGAATATTATTCTATAAGTCTGCTGTTATATTAATATACCATGAATACTATACATATTATATACATTTATTGCAGGCAGAAGATGAACGAAAATTAAAAAACATTGATTCAGTCATGGACCCGAGAGCAAATGAAGAAAGTAAGGCCATATCGCCACATACTTCGTATCTGAACAAGAAACGGATAGGATTATTACGAAAACAGGAAACTAAAGACCACTCATTTAGTGCCATTAGGGAATTCAATTTCGACAAGGAAAATATTGCACTGGAGATGATGACACCGAAATGGCGCCAAACAGTTTCCCTTGAATCGAAAGCATTGCCAAATGAAATTGCTACAGTGCTGAAAGAGGTAGAAGAAAAACCAGTGGAAGTTACATATCGCAAGCCCGCTCCTACCAAAAATACCTTGGAGTTTAAAAATAAAGAGAACTCAATAGTCGATGGTACTGATCCCATTCAAATAAGTAATAATGAACAAATATTTAATTTGAGTGATAAAATTCAGGCCATACCCCAGAATGACCTTCCGTATTGGCTTAAACCGAGTGCGGTGCAGATTTATCCATACAATTTCATAATGGCCGTAAGGCGTAAACTCGAAGCACTAGCTGATGTAGATCAACAATCTACTATCAAAAAAGGGTCTGCAAAAAATTTGAGCATGATAACATCCGAAAGTGATGTACCATTAGTGTCGAAAGCTAGCAAGAAATCAATTCAAGAATCAGCAAAACAATCAGGGGGTTCGGAAAGCAAAACATCATTCGGTGACTGTGATATAACATTTATATCGGATATTGAAAACAAATCAAATCAAAAATCCTCAAAACAATCATGCAATTCAGAAAGTAAAGCATCACTACTAGAAAAACGTTTGGTAGATCATACAATAGCAATAGATAAAAGGGTTAATCAAAAATTGATAAATCCCAAAATTAGCTCAGTACAATCTCAATCCGAGTTAAACTCGAATCTTAGCTCTATATCAATTCAATTGAAGGCTTCTTCAAATACCATTTCGGAAACAGTAACCAAAAAAACTAAAAGTACTCCCTTAACATATGCAAGGCCAAAAATATCTGCAATGCCATCAGAAGATGATACCACAATTTCCAGTTCAATATTTAATAGCCCCGAGAGAAACATTCGCCACATAAATGTAAGTATTGATGCCAATAATTTCGAGGAAAGACAGGGGGCAATTAGCCCTTTGTCTCTTGAGCGTGTGGAGAATCTAACGATCACGTGCAACAAAAAACTTAAAAGAGCGATTGCGGCAAGACATGTGAATACAAGTCGGGGTGATATACTTGAGCCATCTGAAACAGATCCAAGTCTTATCCATAAAGGCAATTTTGGAAACGAAATGGATTTTAATCAGCTGCTGGAGGACTTTAATCGCAGTTTATCACAAGTAATTGAAGTGAATGACCGTTTGAAATCCACTATTAATAAATCGCATGAAATTTGTGGCTGGGAGCAGAGTAGAGAACCCCCAGAACCTAGTTGCCTTAAAAATTGGGATGAGTATACGGAGGATTTTGAGAAAAACTCTAGTCAGCGATATCAAGATAATCACTCAGAATCGTCAGAAAATAGTAACAAGGCAAATGTCAAAGGAACAAACAAAAACTATAAAAATGAATCAAATAAATCATCAGAAACTGGCTCTATAGTACATGGATTAAAAGAAATTGATAAGTGTTCCAACTCGCTCTTGAATCCAGTTAGTCATGCTTATATCAATTCTAGTTTCACTTCATTAAATTCAAACGCATCGATTGAAGTTTCAAAAAAATCCATGGAGCCTTCGTCACAAGAATTAGATAAACGCTTTCAAAACATCGAAAAAGTAAGAGAAATGTTTGAGACTACTATTTTGTCCTCACAAAAAATGAGATGCAGCGAGATATGCCAGCAGAAGTCCGCGAGTAATAAGGAAAATAAAAGCACAAAAATTACACATCCCTTAGATGAGCAAAAAGAAAGTCTGAACTCTGATAGTCCAACTGAAGTTATCCAAGCTGAAGTACAAAGCGAAGGAGGAAGAAAAAATTACAGCTACAATTCACAAAGGAAACAATCCACGACATCATTCAAAAACGAAACCGAGCGCTGCGATAATAATTTGTCATCTTACGTTACTTCAAGCCATAAAATCCTAGAAATGTTCGAACATTCTGGTTTGGAACTTTCCTTGGGCTCCGTAAATAACGATAACTTATCAGACTCGGCATGCAGCTACTCAAATGTTGGTTTGGTAAGTGCGTTCGCAATTAGGATTTGAAAATAGATTTTTATATGGTGAAATAAATATAAGGTGATGTCACTTACATAATCTCACTTTTTCTGCATGCCAATTGCGGCCATGCATTTTGGGGTAGTTGGAAAAGGGGAAAAAGGTTAGTATTATTTTTACTACTTTTTACCTCGCTTTTATTAGCTCGGGATGTGTTTTAATATGGCGCATACGTACGTATAATATGGCGTCTATGTACTAAAACACCCCCGTGGGTCCGCCACTGACTGACACGTAGTTTAACCCCCAAAACGCCCGCCGCTGGATCCGCCACTGTATACAGTATATGGGTGGTATTATCACTTGCGAGGCGAATGATTTTGGCGAAGCGAATTAAAAGACAGAGAAGGTATTAAAAGTGTTCGCGATGAAAAAAACTTGCACAAGCTGGTAAAAGTGAACACTCTTAATGCAAATTTAAGTTGCGTTCGCCAATCCATTCGCTTCGCCAAACCGTTCGCTTCGCCAAATTCATTCGCTTCGCAAGTGATAATACCGCCCTATATTTTACCAAAAATTTACTTACAAAATCACAATTATTGGAAATTATCGCTCAAATTTTCCAATAAATTTGAAACGAAAAGTCAAAGCAAAAGCGAAACAAAGAAACAGTTACTACGTTTATACGTAAGCTATTTGCAAATAAAAATAGTTTGCAAATACCTAATTCACTGTTTATTCGATGGAGAAAAATTCTTTTAATATTGCCTGATAATAAAAAGACAATAATATGACGCATATGTATGTATAATATGGCGTCTATGTATTAAAACACCCCCGTGGGTCCGCCACTGACTGACACGTAGTTTAACCCCCAAAACGCCCCCCGCTGGATCCGCCACTGTATACAGTATATATTTTACCAAAAATTTACTTACAAAATCACAATTATTGGAAATTATCGCTCAAATTTTCCAATAAATTTGAAACGAAAAGCCAAAGCAAAAGCGAAACAAAGAAACAGTTACTACGTTTATACGTAAGCTATTTGCAAATAAAAATAGTTTGCAAATACCTAATTCACTGTTTATTCGATGGAGAAAAATTCTTTTAATATTGCCTGATAATAAAAAGACAATAATATGACGCATATGTATGTATAATATGGCGTCTATGTATTAAAACACCCCCGTGGGTCCGCCACTGACTGACACGTAGTTTAACCCCCAAAACGCCCCCCGCTGGATCCGCCACTGTATACAGTATATATTTTACCAAAAATTTACTTACAAAATCACAATTATTGGAAATTATCGCTCAAATTTTCCAATAAATTTGAAACGAAAAGCCAAAGCAAAAGCGAAACAAAGAAACAGTTACTACTTTTATACGTAAGCTATTTGCAAATAAAAATAGTTTGCAAATACCTAATTCACTGTTTATTCGATGGAGAAAAATCCTTTTTTAATATGGCCTGATAATAAAAAGACAATAATATGACGATCGAAAAAGAAAATAAAATTAAAAATGGCAACGTTTTGATTATTAAAAGGCAAAAGATGACCCTTGGAAAAAAATAAACCTAAGAATGCCGGCGTCTTGCGCTTGTTTGCAAATAGTACCACTAATCAATACTTATTTACGTGATTTAGTTATTTGCAAATAAAAAATTAACTTAGCGTTTATACGGCAAAGTTTACCATTTTGCAAATAATACGTGCGTATAAACGTAGTAAGTGATACCTACGCATACTTTTTTCACAATATTGTCTGCTCCATTTTTTGTTCCATTTCGCCCAGAAATGAAATTGGAATGAATAGAGTAGGCATTACTGTAACGCTGGTATGCCGAAATTGCCAAAATTACAACAACCACCTCCTAAGTGACAACACCTTATTATTATTTCACCATGAGATTTTTATTAAAAGTTATAAAAGCCTGCAGCTATATGTGTATGTATGCAATTTTTTCGAAAATCTTAGTAAATTTATTTATTTATTTATTACTATTAGTTAAAAGATTTAAAATCTTATAACCAAACGAAGGAGCGCTAGCTACCAGGGCTTTCGGCTCGGTCGTTAAATAAAAATGCAATCAAATAAATTTGCTTAAATTACAGGTTTCGATACATTTTTGTATCTTAGCTAAATTTTCGATTGTAGGATTTTTCAATAAGCTAGTTGTTGTAATGATTCTAAAAATAGTTTTACGTAAGTTATCCAAACCGGGACAGTCATTGAGTATTTGTTTACGGATGTTGTCTGATATTGATATTTTGTACTGCCTCAATGGTTGATCTGCTGTCCATGTATATAAGAAATTTCCCTTTGGTTTTTTTTGCAAAGTCGGTTGCAAGTTTGACGGCTAGTACTTCGGCAGTAAATACCGAGCAGTAAGAAAAGACATAAGCGGCGGTTAAGAGAGAGCAATTTTGTTGCACCACGGCAAACGTAGTGTGTTCTTGGTTTTTAGACCCATCGGTAAAAATTATTGACCAATTGGCATCCATAAGAGGTTTAGTGCATTGGACAAACAGTTGTTTGTATGTACTGTTGTTAGTTGAACGCTTTGAAAGGTATGTAGATAAATTNACCGAGCGCTGCGATAATAATTTGTCATCTTACGTTACTTCAAGCCATAAAATCCTAGAAATGTTCGAACATTCTGGTTTGGAACTTTCCTTGGGCTCCGTAAATAACGATAACTTATCAGACTCGGCATGCAGCTACTCAAATGTTGGTTTGGTAAGTGCGTTCGCAATTAGGATTTGAAAATAGATTTTTATATGGTGAAATAAATATAAGGTGATGTCACTTACATAATCTCACTTTTTCTGCATGCCAATTGCGGCCATGCATTTTGGGGTAGTTGGAAAAGGGGAAAAAGGTTAGTATTATTTTTACTACTTTTTACCTCGCTTTTATTAGCTCGGGATGTGTTTTAATATGGCGCATACGTACNATCCTTTATAAGCCAAGGTGGTTCCACCGTTTTCTTTATTCTGTGTATTTCAATGTCGAGCTGTATGTATTTGGCGAAATCAGTACACCGCTGAATTGTCGATTTATACTTTCGTTTCATTGTGTTCAATGCCAATTTATTTAGTAAATCGTTATTGCTACAAAAAAGTTTGGGGATAAGCTGATACGTCGTTGTTTCTAATTGTTCCGTATAGAGGGGAATCCAGCTTCTACCAGCATATTTTTGACCGGAGAGGTGGGAAACGCGCCGATGCTCCTTCTGACTGCGGCATGGTAGGGCAGGGTTCGGAGTTGCCTCATTTTAGCCCCTCGCTCGCTGGTTAGTTTGCTCTGAGCTTGCGCAACTCACGAGCAACAAGCGAGGTTGTTCGCAAACGAGTACTCGTTAAGTACGAGCGCACACGCTGAGTAGCCAGCGAGCGAGTAAGCAAACGAGGGCAGCGCAAGAGTAGAGCGGCAAGCAAACGAGGACCGCATTAGCTCTGCCCTCATTTGCAGCAGCAGACGAGCGAGTGCTCAAAGCGCTCAAAGTTTTCAATGTATTTTATATGGGGGAAAAACAACTTTTCGTAGAAATAGTGTAGAATTCTTGCAAATCAATATTTTTCGATCGGAAAACTTTGCTTATCTTCAGGAGATTCCCAGTAATAATACCCAATTGTTCCTTTAACCATTTTGGTAACTATATTTTATGGGTCCTAGCNGTAGAATTCTTGCAAATCAATATTTTTCGATCGGAAAACTTTGCTTATCTTCAGGAGATTCCCAGTAATAATACCCAATTGTTCCTTTAACCATTTTGGTAACTACATTTTATGGGTCCTAGCAATGCAATGGGGGGACCAATAAAAAATCTTTAATCATAAAAAATGGTTAAATAAACAATTGGATATTAATATTTGAAGTCTTCTGGAGAGAACCACAGTTTAACGATTGAAAAATATTGTTTTTTAAGAGTTTTATACCATTTTTAAGAAAATTAGTTTTTTCCCCATATAAAATACTTGGAAAACTTTGAGCGCTGTGAGCACTCCCTAAATATTTTTTGATTTCAAAATAAAAAAATAGGGGTATATTTATTTTCGGTTCAGAACAATCCTAGGGGGAGGCAGCATTAAAATTCCGACTTTTTTATTTAGGACCACTCTAATGTATATATACATATGTATGTATTTATTTATGTATATACATATTCTCATGCACAGAAGAATAGATGCGTGCTATTTTGACCAGTTTTATCTACTAGGTAGGCACATATGATCATAATATCTATGTAGGTATACTTTTTTTAATGTTCAATAATTNGTTCAGAACAATCCTAGGGGGAGGCAGCATTAAAATTCCGACTTTTTTATTTAGGACCACTCTAATGTATATATACATATGTATGTATTTATTTATGTATATACATATTCTCATGCACAGAAGAATAGATGCGTGCTATTTTGACCAGTTTTATCTACTAGGTAGGCACATATGATCATAATATCTATGTAGGTATACTGTTTTTAATGTTCAATAATTTCTTATAAAATTTCAACTTATACACTTAGGTCTCTTTTTATGCGGTTCTTTTTTATGCGGATTTGAATTTATGCGGTTTTTCAAACACTTTTTTCGCTGTAGCGATTTTGCTTTTTTGAGAGCTTTTAGTATTTGTTTTCTTCCATGTGTAAGGGGCAATGCTTCTGATAAATAATTTGTCTTTGTATTGTTACATACGAGTAATTACTAACTAATTCGGCTAAGTAACTATGTTACAAATGTATAAATGAGGATATAATATTTATAAAAATCATTATTGTGTCTTTCCTTTCATAATTGAGTAGGACATTAGCATTTTCAAATGAATATTCCTGGTTTATTCCCCATACATATGTATGTATGTAGTATAATACAAACTACTATTTGGGGTGTTAAACAGTTTTTGATAATTAAGGCTGGCCCACATAGAACTTTCTCGTTGACTTTGTAGTTGGCGTTGGTTTGACAGAACGCACGTTAAAAGTATGCGTTCTACAACGAAGCTTGGCAGAGACTACTTTGGCCGCTAAATTCACATATTGACGAGAGATAAATTAATATCATTAATTGCACGAAAAATTAAATTTCTTGCCCTCATTTGATTAAAAGGAAAAAACATTTCATATGATTTTATTTATTTGCAACAGCTGGCGACCGACGCAGCGATCTTTCTGATTTGTGTTGGCCTTAGCGTTGCCAAATTTTTGCTATGTGGACGGCTGCTTTGAAATTCAACGCCAACGCAACGCAACATATATAAATATGCATGTTATGTATGTACATTAGACTGCATCACCAAAAAAAGTTGCGGTTTTCCCGCCGGGATTATAAAATCTATTATATTTTAAGACGTCCACCAAAATATTTCGGAAAAATGTTAAGATTTAAGCGAGCTGGACCGATTTGAAAATACCTCCAAAAATTAATTTTTTTATGAATAAAAATTGTTTCTTAAAGAACTTTTTGAAAAAAGTCCCCTCAGATGACAAACTGGATTAAGCTTAAAAAATCTGCATACAAATAATCGAAAATATTTTCAACGGAATCGTTAGAATGAGATTTTTGATGCTGTTTTTTTTTACATTTTTCAAAGATTGGTTTACGAAAATCTTGAATAACTGGGCCAAAAATGGTCTGATTTAGACTTATCGGATCTCAGTAGAAAGGTATTTTCACACTGTTTTTATATGTGTCCAAAAAAAAGTCATTTGTGTCCCACATTTTTTTTCAAACACCAAAGCATCTTAATTCAACTTTGAATGACGTTCGTTCATCCTACCTTTCTCTTCCATCCTTTGAATGAGTTTATTAGGAAAGAAATAAAAAGAGTGAGAGACTACCTTTCCAATGACACCTCGCAAGTCTAAATCGGAAGAGTTTAGGTTCAGTTATTCAAGTTTTTCCTATACCAATCTTTGAAAAAAGTTAAAAACAGCATCAAAAATCTCATCCTTACGATTCCATGTAAATTTTTTTTTAATTTTTTTTTAAATATTTTTATGCAGCCTAAACCGTTTCGTCATTTGAGGGGATTTTTTTCAAATAAATTCTTTAAGAAACTATTTTTATTCATAAAAACTCCATTTTTGGAGGTATTTTCAAATCGGTCCAGCTCACTTAAATCTTAATATTTTTCCGAAATATTTTGGTGGACGTCTTAAAATATAATAGATTTTATAATTCCAATGGAAAAATAATGCCGATTTTTTTTTTTGTATGGGGAGTGATGCAGTCTAATGTACATATGTATGTATGTATATAACTCTACAAAATATTTCATTCCATAATCTATGCTTATGTATGTAATAAATTTTATTTGTTGTTTTAAATGCTGCCCTAATATAATCACATATTTATATGCATATGTACATATGTACATACAATTACATATGTACATACAATTACATATTAACATACTTTCGTACATAATTTATTAACATACATTCCCAAACACCAGCAAACATTAGGTTTGATACACATTTGAGAATGATTTGAAATCAAAGCCTTTCTCAAATGTCAAACGTTTGAAAATGATTTGATATTGATTTGAAAATTACAGCTTTCTCAATAAAAAGGGGAGTTTGATCTCCATTTGAGAATATGGTTAACCCTCAAATCAATTTCAAAGGTTATTTATCAATTGTACTTCAAATCTATACATATAATAAAATTGTAACAGGTCGATGTCTGTACATTATAGATATTAAAGAAAAGATAATGTGGGGGTCTTTATTAGATCACCAGAAGCCAAATCAACCATTTTTAGAATTTTTGTCTGTCTGTCTGTCTGTATGTTTGTTCGCGCATCACTCCAAAACGAATGCATGGATTTGAATGCAGTTTTCACCGATGTATTGCTAGAGGTCTGACTTAAAATATAGGAAGAAAAAAATTAGAGAGTTGCCACCTGTTTGAAAATTGGAGTTTAAGTAAATTGATAAGAAAAAATAAATATTGCAATATGGGCGTCAAAGAAAGAGGCTCAAGAAGACTTACAGCCAAAAATATTTTTTTTAGAGTTGCCACCTGTTTGAAAATTTACATTTAATTTAATTTATAAGATAAATTGAATATTGCAATATGGGTATCAAACTGAAGGAGTTTAGGAAATTTTAATGCCGAAAATATTTTTAGGGAGGAAAGGCTGCCACCTGTTTGAAAAATTTTATTGTATTAAATTGATAAAATAAATGAAATATTGCAATACGAATATTAAACTAAAGAGGATTAGGAAGCTTACTTTTGAAAATATTCTTCAAGCGGGTTTGAAAACTTTAATTCAGTTAAATTTATAATATAAACTAAGTGTTGCCATATGGGAATCAAACGAGAGTATTTGAGAATAATAAAATTTCAACAGGCCGATATCTGTACATAATAGATGTTAAAGAAAAATTAATAGGGGGTTTATGAGATCAACAGAAGCCAAATATAAAATTTTGGTATGTTTGCCTGTATGTTTGTAAGCGTATCACGCAAAAGTTAATGTATGGAATTAAATGCAGTTTTCACCGATGTACATATTGCTAGAGCTCTAATTGAAAATATAGAATCCATCTTTTTTTTTGTTTTAGTTTATCGTCGATCATTATTCCTAGGTATTTGAACGTATTAACTTTTTCCAGTGCGTCGTTGTTTATATTTAGAGTTAGCAACGGACCGTTCTCAAAATTTCGCCTAGATATAACCACAAACTTTTTTTTTTATTTTTTCTGTGTGGAAGGTTTTTCGCTAAAAAA